ATTGAAGTTTCCTTGCGATATTATGAAAAAGCTTGCATACGAATCAAGAAAGAGTTGATGCTTTTAGATCAAAATGTATTTCTAAAGCTCAAACGTAACTTCCGTATAAATATGACCCCCATATTCAAACTTACACTCTGCGTATTTGGATAAAAGTAGTTTTTATGTTAACTTAAGCTATGGTTTTGTGTACATATGTATATAATAATTTATACAAGCAAAATAATTCTATTTGCCTCAATATGTGATATATTGCTGGAAAGATAAATATACGTCCACTTAAAGAGGTTATATTTCCTGCTTCTGAAAATATCTGCGGTTCGGTGGAAATATTGTGTTTAAAATAAATTTGCAAGAACCTACTTAACCACAAACCGTATGACTTAAACAGAGTACCACTGAAAAACGATGGTAAATCTAATCGTTGAGTGAACAACGATCTGACTCAAATTGATTTACAATAATTGTTACAAAACGCTGATGTTTCGAAGTGAATCAGTGTATGAAGAAAGAAGAAACGGTTATTGAAGCGACTGTATAGAACTTTACATGTTTATCAAAACCGTTTAGTTCAAATGAGAAGTCGTCACAATAAATTTGTTTTATCGCCAAGTTTACATCTTGCTCCCTACTGTTTCCAATCGGTTCGCTTATTACGAGTATGATCATTTCATGAGGAAAGTTTGTTCTAGGCTGATGAGGTCAATCGTGACAAATTATCTGCAGTACTATTCTCGACAATATTAGAAATTTGCAAATTGTGTTGTATAGGGTGTGTAAATATTTCGTGTACATGGCACTATCTCAGATTCTTGATCCAATCAATTTACTTTTATTCACAATTGCTTTATTTTATTAATTGACAAAGTTTCTTTTCTTTCTAAATAAGTCTAGTTACTTTTCCAGTTTAAGCAAATTTTGGTATGCTAGTGCTGCTATAAATGTTACTTTTTTATGTAGCAATAAAAAAAAGCATTTACAAGAAAAGATAACCCTACCCCTAAAGAAAAAATCCTCATACTTTCTTGTAGGTTTTCTGGGTAAATTAAAATTACTAAATGAATTTCGCAATTCTGACCTCGAATTCGTAATCAGCGACCCCGTATACCAAATTTGACGTGAATGTGTTATTTTTTTTTTTAATTTGTAATACCGTCTTTGATACATCTTGAGTTTTACAAAATTGACCTCGGATCTGAATCTGTAACCCAGAAAACCCCTGTATACCAAATTTAGCGCAAATGGATTATTTTTTGATAATTTGGTCGTCCATCTTGGATCCGCCATAGTGAATTTTACAAAATTGACCTCGGATCCGTGATCAGCGACCCCGAAAACCCCCGTACACCAAATTTTGCGCGAATTCCGTATTTTTTGAAAATTCGTGATATCTGGCCCTTAATTTTTTGAGGTTAGAAAAAGAACCATCAATTTTGACCGCGGATTCACGTTCGGCGGGGTCTTAACCATGTAAACAAATTTATATGTAGAACTAAGCAAGTAAATGTTATAAGAATATTACATGTGCAGTTATATATAAAAAAAGTTAGTATTTTCGTAGATTTCAGTACCTAAAACCTTGATGGTTTGATCGTTTTTTGCACCTGTTTATTTGTTTTACTGCGGCGTCTTTGAAAATACTCGGATGGCGCGACATAACATTCCTATTATTTGATAAGCTTTAAATTATTCAGTTATTAAATGTTTGAAATTATTTGTCTATTTGTGGAAAACACTATTTCAAGAATACGGCGCCCTTAAACAGGATAACTGACCTCTACATTGATCGAGTTCGAAAACATTTCATCCGTAGACATTTAAAAAAAAAATTGTCTTGATTCTTGGATAATCATAGCTCAAAAACATTTTTTGTCAAAATATTTTGAAACTTGACTTAAAGCTGCAAAAGGTTTTTTTATCTCGACACGACCATTTTTCACTGAGTTACAGGCCTTCAAAAATCACTAAAAAATGTATGAAACATTTTTGTTCCCTTATTTTTTTCCATTAGTGTAGTTCCCCTTCATTCATAGTAGTGTTAATAATTAAAACACAAAAGTTCGTAAGGTCAAATTACCATATTAACAAAAAATAGCTTTCCTTCTAACAAACCAAACGGTAATACTTAATCGTTTCCTTTTTATTTCACAATGTTAGCAGTTCCACATTCGATCATAAAATATACATTAACATTAACTGCCGGTTGCTGACCTTACTTTTCATTTATTTCGTTTTATGCTTAGAAATATCGTTCTTGTATAATTAGCAACTGTAAACATAGATAATGCCTTATTCTGTTTTTTTTACATTTCAGATTGAATCCCTTGCGATTAAAACTAAAAGCCTTGCTTTCTCTTTTTTTTTAAGTGGCAGGCCACAAATCAATACGCGATAATTACAGGCTTCGAAAAACGTCACATTACGGTCGTTTATCTCGTGTCATTACTGAAAAATATTTCATGTCTGGCACTGCTATAATGTTAATTACTGGTACTTAATTTGTTGATAGGTGTCGCTTAGAAGGGATTTTTTTTTGTCTAATTTTTATAGCTGTGATAATAAGCCGGTGATGTACCGTGCTGATTATTTTGGAACTTTGTTTGGTTAAAAAGAAATTAATTAAATGTTATTACTCCGTTGATCCATTAAAATCCATACAATAACTTTATCACGCCCAATGATTGATTAACACTATCTATGTGGGATACGTTCCTGTAGTAATTTAGTCCAGAAGAAGCCAGTATTTTCAAATGACGTTTCCGGTTTAGAAGTGATAGAGCCTGCTTTAGAATCAATTGGAAATGTTTTACTAAAATATAGATTTTTATATATCCCATTAGCGGGCAAAGGTGCGTAAACGCACACTTTTATTTTAATTTTTTTTGAGATCATCCGTAAAATTATATGCTTTCCTACCTACAGAATCTTATGCCAACAGTCCAGAGTGTACTAGTATTTTTATTTAATTAAAAATAATATTGTTTTAATATTATTTTCTTTAAAAGCAAATACGATATTTAAAACTTTAGAACACATTTTCAAACAAATATTGTTTGTTAGTAAAAATGAGCAAACAATTTTTTTTTGAGCCAGACGTAAATAAAAGAGAAGTATTTTGATACCCATGTAGTTTTTTTACTTATGTTTTCAAAAGGATGGTCATAATGATACATATACAGGGTAGGAAAGTACCGATGGTCTACCTGAAGTTACGTGAGAGCGATAAAGTAAGCCATAGAAATCCATGCGATAGAGAAGGATGGCTATAATAAAGGCGTCTCATAGTCACCGCCCGTTTCGCCCTTCCACAAATAAGATCCACTTCTTATCCACTGCAGATTTCTAACTCTTACGGTTTAAGTGTTATCTAACCTCATTTAGAGAGAGCTGAAATCGTTATTTTTTTAAAAGCAACTAAATATCTTGAAAGCGGTAAGTTTTAAACACCATGTATATTTAATAACACTTTGTAAAGCTAAAAATATATTCTTTAGATGGCCCACATGATTCCAGACAACTTTTATTAAAACCAGTTTTTTATAAATTGTACAGTTACAGAGTTACAGAAGAATTCCTCTGAGGTGGAACACCCTGTATAGAGTAGCTGATTTGTATGAAAACGACCGATCATCTCCTAAATTAAGATGTCTATCGAAAAATCATAAGACATAAACGTTTTAGGGTTTTTTAAAATTTATTACCATAAAGAAAAATTAAGTATGCAAGATCAGTCAAAAAATCATAACGAAACAAAGTTGCTTCTTCTTTAATGGAACACTGTATATTACCTCATATTTCAATATTTTTCGATTTTCTTGCACAAGCTTTAAAAGAGCAAAGATAATATACATACATATATTCAAAATTGTAACATCCCATACGTTCTATAACATAAATATTTGGCGCCCAACGTGGTGTGTTCATTATTTATTCTGAAATTCGATGGTTTTGTAAAATTTTTAATAAGTTATGAATAAAGAAAAATTAAGTATACAAGATCAATCAAAGAATCATAACGAAACGAAGTTTCTTCTTCTTTAATGAAACATCGTGTATATTATTTCATATTTCAATATTTCTCGATTTTCTTGCACAAGCTTTAAAAGAGCTAAGATAATATACATAAATATTTTCAAAATTATAACATCCTATACGTTTTATAACATAAATATTTGGCGCCCAACGTGGTGTGTTCATTATTTATTCTGAAATTCGATGGTTTTGTTAAATTTTTAATAAGTTATGAATATCAGTCAAAGAATCATAACGAAACAAAGTTTCTTCTTCTTTAATGAAATACCGCGTATATTATTTCATATTTCAATACTTCTGGAATTTTTGGACAAGCTTTAAAGGAGCTAAGATAATATACATATATTGTTACGGTTTTTAAAAATATTAATATATAAACATTTACAAATAATTAAATTATGTCTTTATAATTACTTATTAATTATTTTATCAATTGCAATATACTCAATTCATTTCAAAATTAATTATCTATTACTATTATCTTATATATAAAATTCTCGTGTCACAATGTTCGCTCCCGTACTCCTCCGAAACGGCTTGACCGATTCTCATGAAATTTTGTGTGCTTATTGGGCAGGTATGAGAATCGGCCAACATCTATTTTTCAAACCCCAAAATGTTAAGGGTGGTCCACCCCAAATTTTTTTTTGTTTTATGGACAAAATTTTATTTTTTTATTTTTTTATGATGTGGCCTTAAAAAATACATACAATCCTAAATTTTCACCCTTCTACCATCAACCCTTATTTTTTAATAGCGATATTAGTAATTCAATAATTTTCCTATACGTTCTATAACATAAATATTTGGCGCCCAACGTGACGTGCTAATATTATTTATTCTGAAATTCGATGGTTTTGTAAAATTTTAAATAATAGACTAAAGTATAAATAATAGCCCTGCTGTTGCGTCCGCGACACTGACACATTAGCCCAGTTTTCGACGGTGATATTTCCGTTTTGTTGCAGTCGACGGAGACGAGATCGAGACGGCGGCCACGATGATTCCAGACACGTTACGGAATTCGGGTCACCACACGACGCCGCCCCTCCTGACCGACGACGACGGTCTCATAATACCCCGGAAGCCGGCCAACCCCGTCCGGGATAACCCCGAGAGGCAGAATCTCCACAAAGAGTTGCTCTTCAATCAGAAAATGTAAGTATCCCGCGAAAATAGAACTGTAATTAAAAAAAAGTAAACCACCTGTTAAAAATATACACTTTTTCTCTCTATTAGGTGACATATTCGAATTAGTTTACTGTTATCAGTCTACTTATTATTTTTTCGTTGTCAAATTTTCGTTTTAAAATCCGTGGAGTCTGAGCCCACCAAATTAAGTTTGTTTGTTTACAAAAAACGATGTAAAAGAATAGCCTCATACGCAGGTGAGCTCTTGTTGATATGTTGTCGCTGTTACCATCAGCGTATTTTCTCTTGTTTTGTTTAATCTTGCCAGTTTCCAGTTTTACTAAGTATTGTTATTGTTTTTCTTGGTGTTGTATTTTGTCAGTGTGTTTATCGAGTGTTTTTTTCTTCAAGTGGTTTATTATAGACGTAATTACTCTTAATCATAACCAAACTTTCCTTGGATGCTATCCTGCGAGGCTACTTCGCTTATATGAAATTATCTTTAATGCGCATGCTCAGTAACATTGATATAATTTTAATTTATTAATTACTATAAAAGTCAATATTCTATAAATTTAAATTTATAAATTCTATAATTCTATTAGTTTGTCACTTGAAAAGGTCATTTTTATACGATGTGACTGTAAATATTAAGCGTTTTATAAAACGTCGAATAATTATAAGTCTTATTGCAAACGCATCTTAATTTTCATTTTCTTTCGAATATGACTGACTTTCTCCAGTTGTTTTGTAAACGATTGATTTCATGAAATATCAATTTATATTATTTCTAGTTCCTATAATTTTGCGTATAAATAAAAAGAATTAATGCTAATTCTTACATTTGATTTTTCTAACAATAAGAGTGTTAAGTCCTAAATCTACAAAGTTTAAACTTGTATTATGTTTCTTATTTGAACAAGCTCCGTTTTGGGTCTTCTATCGTCTTGAAATTCTAGTTTTTGAAGTGAAAATAGCAAAACAATACTGCTTACTAATTTAGTGATTGTTTATATAATGTCATACCACGGTACAAACTCATAATATGAAGTTGGAAAACTAACCTAGAAACTAGAAAATTAATAATCCGTGCCTGCCTTACAATTCGCCTAATTCGAGAGCAGTCTCATTATAAATACGCCTGAAGATGTTCGGTTTATTCTTTTAGGCGCAATGTAAAAATATTGGCTTTTACATTCGTTTTACAATAAAATTCATAGGTATTCGGCGTTTTGTAAAACGCCTAAACTTTTCAGTCGGATTGTAAAAAAAATTATTTACACATTTTTTTACAATTTGCTTAGTCATTTATAAGGCGTTTTATAAAAGAGACTGAACTTGCAATAATTAGCCTGCGACATCTATACAACATAGAAGAACTATGATGGAGAATAATAAGGGACATTACTGCCAAACATTTAAAATACTGTTTAAATCGCAACTTTGGTCAACTTGCCCGAATTTTTTATATAAGTTCGTTTGAGGTATATAATAACAGTACCTAAGTGACAGTATTTTTTTTGTCAACCCCCGGCCAGGGGTGAAAAAAGATAAAATAGATAACTCAAAAGGAGTTAAGAGCCAGAAAAAAAGTTTAATATAAAAGTTGTAGAGCATAAAATTCTACATAAAAATGGTCTATTGATTTTTGTTTGTACTATTAAACAGAGTTAGGGAGACTAGAAGTGAAGGGATGATTTCAGAAATTTAAAAATCATAAGCAAAAAATGATTTAATTTTATAATTTTTTTTCAATCTACTCTAAAAAATGTAAACTATCTTTTCAGAGAAATAGCTATATTTTTTAATTTTTAATAAAAATTTCACAAAGCGAACGTGATTTTTCATATTTGTCGTAAAACAAAATTTCGAAAGCAACATTTCATTATTTCAAACAATCAATCACGAAAATAATTGTTTTAGTGTTAAATCATAAAAATTAACGATTAGAAAATTGAAATTGTTATAACTCTTTTATTAAAAATTAAAAAATATATCTATTTCTCTAAAAGAGAGTTTACATTTTTTAGAGTAGATTGAAAAAACAAAATTAAATTCATTCAGTTTTGCTGTTTTCATGACATATTTCTATTTGTTACTTTTTGTTATTCGTAATTATAATTGTTCATTCATTAAAACTAAAACATTATTTTCTAATTTGAAACGGTATATTAAAAAATAACAAATTAGTGGAACATCCTGTTTTTACTTAATTATCCTACCAACAAAAAATATGACGGAAAGCAAGAGATTGTTTAAGGTGATCTTGGCGACCTATTTAAGTAAAGAATAAGCACATATTCATATTCGGGAACCCCAAAAAGTACGTCAAATAATATTTCCTTGAAATATCTCACAATTTTTTTTTTAAGGCTGATTTGAACTTTCTAAAGAGTCAGAATTGTAACTTTATTTAAATCGGTTTATTTTCAATTAAGGGAGTTACTCCTGAAGTCTATCGTTTTATTTATAAAATCATTGAAAATTACAGATAAAAACTCGAAAGTATATTAAAATTTAAAAAAAACTATAGAAAATTGGAAAAAATATTAACACTATTATTTAATGGCGCAATGGTTGTAATGCCCTGTAATGTAATGTCCTGTATACCTGGTCGTCGCCTTAGTTAGAAACCTTTGACCTGTCCCTGTTGTTCTCGGGCTAAGCTTTGTGGGGTCGGACCCGCGGCGAAGCAGAGTCACCACTGAAGATGTCGACAGTGAAGAGTGGCGAAACATTTGGAAACATTGGATGCTACAAGTCCCAGAGATTCCCCATTGCCTTAGCTGCAGTTCTGTCCGTATCGACTTTAGATTCAATAAAAGTGAACATCAGGGTGAGCCTAGGGATTCTAATAGTGGGTCCGTCCCACAGGCCTAGCCCCAGAACAACGGAGACAGGTCAAAGCTGTTCCTAAGGAAGCAGGAATATTGATTATATTCTCCCTTTTCAACAAACCTTCGTTGTATATATCACTTATTTTCGACCGAAATTTCATATTAAGTAACTATTAGTACGCATTATATTAAAAGCGGAAAGTGTAGGCTTAATAAATGTTATTAAACACATTACCAACTTCTTGGAAATCAATTTGTGTTTTCGTTTTCCAAACAAAAAAATATTTGCTAAAAATATGTTATTCCTAGAATATGTTTTTAATGAATTCGTGTTGTCTGCTTCAAACAACAATAATACAACCGCAACCAATACTGTACGGGATGACAGCCCATTGAAAATTTCCACGAACTCCTTAGCAACTAATTTCGCAGGTTTAATACGGAGTAGCCTTATAATAACGGAAATGAAAAGTTCAACTCGACGTTTTCCAACACATCAGACAGGCAACTTAACTGGCTTTGTTTCCTCTCCATTCATTATAGGAATCAGATTGTAATCTAATTGCTACAGTTCATTAATCTGCGGTTATAAACGTCTCCAAACATTTCTAATCTTTCATCAAGCAATAGTTTTATAGTACCATATTACAGTGTGGATCGATTTCGACAATTGGGCTGGGTATTTCCCGAAAAAATAATATTTAATTATACAAAATTGGTGTCATAATTTCAGGAGCTTGTTCATGAGGTCATTTTAGACCAAACAATTTTAGTAAACCAAAGCTATGCTTTAAGGACAGTAACCAAAACGTAAATACTGTACTGTGAGTGAAAAACTGTCAAATTTGGCTCACCCTGTAACATAGAACACAGCACCGCGACTATATTTACCTCGCGATCACTCTACAAGGAAGTCAGAAAAGGTGCATACCTCTGTTCCTTTATTTTTACCCGCATGTACTCTCAGCCAGTATTGAGAGAAGCAGAGAGCTTCTTATTTTCCCCGTAATTAAATGCGCCCAGCCTTAAGAAAGATCTCCAGCTCCTCTCTTATTAGCGAGCGACACATAAGTGCCCTGCTCCGCCTTTAGACCGGATGCTGCGTGGAAATTATCAGCTGTTTTTATTGATCGTGACGTGGATTTGACGTAATATGTTGTGCGTCTGTGATAGATCCCAGAGGAATGCTTGATAGTTTTTTAGAACAAAGAAAAATAAAATTGAGATAGATGTAATATATGGCGTTTATTTTGTTCTAGTTTCTCAACAATTAGAGGTATAAGGCATGGGCGCCGCCTGAAATATTTACCAGGGTATATTTACCAAAATTCCAGGTATTCCCCTAATTGTGTCAACACTCGTGTCAACAGCTTCAAGTATACGATTTCGCAATTCTTCCACGGTAGCAATTGGACCAATGACTTCAATGATTCCAAAGGTCCATTGGAGATTGTTCGGGTGACCGAGGTGGCCACAGCACATGACCGAAGCGTCACTATCACGGGTAAATGGCGCCTCATCTGTTACACAAACATAAGCAGGAAAGTCTACATGATTGGCACATTGCCGTAAAAACCATCTGCAAAAACGCATTCGTTGATCACAATCCGGGGGTAAAATCTGTTGAACTGGTTGCAGATGATAGGGGTGCAACAGTTGGCGCCTTAGGATGCGATGTACGGTACGAGATGACTTTCCTACTTGCTGTGCGAGTCGTCGAGTACTAATTGTGGGGTCTTCGTCAAGATTTTTCAACATTGCATCTTCAACATTAAGGTTCACTTGCTGACCACGTCCTTCTCCTCGAGGAATAACACTTCCCGTATCTCGCAGCCGCTGAACGCACTGTAGGATTGATTGCACATGGGGGTGACGTTGTTGCCATCGTTCCCGGTACAATCTAGTCGTCGCGAGTACATTTTCTCCGGCTGCACCATACACTAACACCATATCGGCACGTTCGGAAATAGTAAATGTATTGTTTTCTCGGTTTATAAAACTAGTTTGTGCAGAAACTAAAAACTTAAGCAAAGTAAGAAATAAGAATCTCGTTTTTAATGTAATCGTCACGCTATTCTTATTTTTTTACTTCTTTATAAAAATTACACTGTCACCATCGTGGAATTACAAAGAAACAAAAACTTTTGTCAGGAATCTTTCACCTTCTAACACTGATGGGTGGATGGACGATGCTTAATTTTTAATAATTAAGTGAATAATGAATTCAATACAAATACAAAATCAGTTGATTGCACAAATTTTTTGACAATGTAACCTAACCTTCTTTTAGTATTACTAGTATTTGATTATACCGACTTAAATTATAAGGTTGCATCTCGGGTTGCATAAAAAAATATCAGAAGTGTTTAAATAAATAGCACAGGGTCGGCCAGCATTTTCATTGAATAAATGAACTTTAATTTACAAAAAACCGCAAAGATAGAACTTTTTCGTTTAAGACTTTTCTATTACAAATATAATCAGTAAGCTGTAGTTTAATTTTTATAGATTATACACGCCACACCCTGCATAAATAAAGGTAAACAAACTTCTCCTTTCTTTCTTCTCGAATAAAACTGTGTGTGTGAAAGTTTATTGCACTGCCACGCTGAACAATCAGTTTTATTTGGATTCCAAAGATCTAAAAACACAGGAATGAAGCTAGGAAGAAGAGAGCACTATCTTGAAGAACAATCTTATAAGTAAAAAAAGACACGCCATATGTTTAAGTACATATAGCAGCATTATTACAGTAGAACGGATTGTATTGAAAATCCCCCGTAAAAGTTATTAATAGCAACGCTTTAATCAACCGAAAATTACTTCCTCGGACTCACATGCATTGAAACTCGTTTAACCTTTAATTTATAGCTTCAGCACCGGTGCTAAAAAATCCTTTTTCGCCTACGTCGTTGCCAAGCTGTGCTGTGCACAAAGTTGCATTCACATACACACATAAGAGCCGCCTTGTTTGCAATTTTTCTTATTATCTTTCACGTTCCACCGGCTCCCAGACGTAGGCGAAACTGAAAGGAGAATGCCGTTTTTACACCGAACATAGAACGCGTTGCAGTGGCGGAAGTAATTCAGATGTGATGAAATAGAGTATAGTGCAAACATTATTCGTTAGTATTAAGGAAAATGCTTCGTTATCAAAGATGTCAGCCTTGTATGTTCTATGTCGGATATCCCCAGTCATTTTATAATTTTTTAAAACTTTTGTACTATTTCTAGACACCTTTGTACTTGTTGTAAATACATTTTGAGAACCACTGTTCCTGTCTAATGGCAGTTTTACACAGTCAAATAAATTAACAAATTTTTGGCCTTGAAGTAACTTTTGTGTATTATACAGGCTGTTACAAATTCGCTTCTCACTACAGGGATCTTGGAAACGTTAAGAGATACGAAGTAGCTTAAATGGAGGCAAAGTTGTATAATCAGACCAGCATTATGCCTCTAAAAACCCCATGTTACATTTAAAAATTGATTATGCCATTCGATAGAGGCCAAAAAGTTGCCATGAGAAGGTGTTCTTCTTTTTTCAATATCACCCTAAACAAGGCTGAAATGAAACAAAAACGGATTTCCAAAATTTAAGTTTTTTCCAAATATTTCAAAAACTAATCACGTTAACATTGATTTTTTAGAGGCATTATGCAACTTTGTCCCCATTTAAAAGCTACTTCGTATCTCTTACCGTTTCCGAGATCCCTGTAGTGAGAAGCGAATTGTAACAGCCTGTATACATTAATTCAAGGTCAAAAAATGTATCAATTCCTTTCACTGTGTAAAATTGTTATAAGATAATCATTTATGCATCCGTTAAAATGAAGTCTCATATCAAGAAAATTATTTAAAACAAGATCTCAATCATTTGGTTTCTGACTACCAGTAATACATTATGACGTAGTATAAAAGTAACTGGTTTTAAGTCCTAAAAAAAAAATCAAAGATCAATTAGAATAAGTAAAATGTTTCTGTTTGAAAACGTTTTGACTGCATAACCTTTTTTTGACATGAACTATACAAACGCCCCCCTCCCAAAGTCCATCTCTGGATCCGCCACTGAAAAAGGGAAACCCTAAAAACGAAAGAAAAATTTCAGCGTCAAAAGTTAATTGCGTTATTAAAATTACCTAATTATTGAAAAATAATATACTTAAACAGAATAGCTCTAGTCAACAACCCGTCAAAGGGTTGTCACAATCTTCCCATCCACATGTTCACAATAAAAGTCAACTTTTTACTGACTTTCATAGTAGGTAATGAATGACATACGCTTATAACTAATTAATTAATTAATAATTAATTTAATAAATGGATTACAATACACAAATAATGAGTATTAAATTAAAAATGAACCACTAGTTTTAATTTTGTATATGGGGTGTTGTCAAAGTTGAATCATTTATTTTAACAGCTGGTAGAGCTCATAGAAAAGTCGATTTACCAAAAATCGTTTATGTAAAAGTTGCCAAATAAAGCAATTATTAACAATTATTTAAAAAAATTGAAATTTAAAAACTTTATATGACAAACCTGATTTATTATCATTTTCGACCAATGCGTTGTAAAAACATAAATGGTAAACAAATCATTTTTGTAGAACAATTTTGAACAATTTTTGTAGAACAGGATTTTTGTAACTCTCTTTTTCTGCAACTTTTATCTAAACGATTTTTGGTAAATCGACTTAACTATGAGAACACCCTGTATACAAATAATATACTTTAAATAAAACAAAACACTGTAAGTATAGAATGATTTACAGAAGACTATGGCTTATTTACCGCAAACCACAAGGCTTGTCTTGAAAATCGTATAAACTATAGAACATGCATTTTATAAGTTAGATATGAATAACAAGACAGACAGTATTGCGGAAAACCACCGGATAGGAGTGACAAAAGAATGTAAACATTCTGTTGCAGATATTTCAATACTTCTTCGATATATTGTCAAAAAAAAAGTTAAAACTTTTTTCTTAATTTTTTCACGTTCAATACTATTTTATCAGGGTATTGTACCTATAAAATTTTATTTCAGTGTTTTCATTCGTCAGAAGATGTGTAAATATACATATGTATAATTTTTTTTTGAAAAACTTCAACACCTTGATCTCAAAATGTAAGGCTTCAAGAGAAATTTTAAATAAGAAATGTTCTTAAATTTAGATCAAAGAATAAATTTTACACTGTGCGCTTTTGTAAAATATTAATTCCATGTTTTAATCCCAACAGGGAGAATTGACTTGAAAACGTATAAATTTAATTCACAAAATGTTGAATTTAGAGTGCAAAATCTATAAATAACTAAAAAGTGATTCCAAAATTGTCACCATATGGGTCTTGAAAAATGACCCTTGTTGCTTTTGAATGTTTTATCGTCTTAATTTTCTAAACGTTTTCAATATTTCTTTAAACATAACCTTCTGCAAAGTTTTAATACCTCTCTTTATCTAAAAATTAAAAAGATTAATTAATTTCATAGTTGTACCGATGTTGACATTTATATTTGATTTAACAAATTAATCTAATTTGAAAATACTTCAGTTTATTGAAACTTCTTTTTTTTGCAGAGGAAAGAATGTTCTGAATCAGAAAACCGAATTGCAAAGAGCATTACAAAGGCAGAAAGAAAACCTCGCCAAAAAGCAACTCGAAAACCACATAGCTGCCCAAGCACCTGAACTGGAAAAGGTGATTGCGGACAGAGCCAAAAGATTGCAACACCCAAACGGAGAAAAAGTGAGTATAAACCACTTTAGTGACATTTACATCCTACCTAGGTCAGAAGAATAGTTTTGTAATGAATTATATTGCATATAGGACCATTATAAGGATTTTTTTATTTTCAGAATGAAGATGACAAGGTCATAAGCAAAGAACTGGTGCAAGTTCGAATGAAATTAAGAACTCGACACGATTCGAAATGAGTGTGTTTGACTAAAAATATTCCGTAATTTGATCATTTAGAACATATTTTATATATGCGTAGCATATGGAGAAATGTATTGTTTTAATGTGTAGGTTATTTGATTTAATTTATGTGATAAGAGTATGACTAAGCTATTTTTTATTATTTTAAGTTCTCAACTGTGTATAATACATGATAAAATTACTATTAATAAATATTTTTTGTACAAATGTGTCCGTATTTTTATTTACAAAAATTGTTATGTTCGTTTCCTGTAATGTTGTACGCAGCTTCCTTCTTTAATTCCCAAACTTTCATTAGTATTTTCCTGGTAGGTATCCTTTTTAATTTAATTCTACAAAACTTAAATATTCACAAATTAGTAATTCTAGGTAATATTTGTACAACTCACAACTGTCAAGAGATTTATCACTTTTATGGTTAATTTTTTTTGTAGACAGTGTTTAAAATATTTGATAATATATTGATAATAAATCGATTGACAAAAATATTTTTTTCAAAACTTTTTAGAACCGCTGACCTCTAATAGCTCTGTTTTGTTGGGTCATTTTCAGAAGACTTTTCTCACATACAATTTCGCTTGACCACAGAAAACGCATTTTGTAATGAAAACTATGGAGAGCTGATGATTAACTAAAATTAAACTAGCAGTTTTTCAGATTACTATAAAAAAAATGCATGGCACGCCATAACTATTCACCTCTTTTTATGTAGTATGGAAGTTGGGAACGATTCCAGAGTTTCTCAACAAGTTTTAAAGTTTCGATTATTACTAATTTTAGCACCATTTTGTAGTTCCAACGATTTTGATTATTGAAAATGCTTATTATTAATGCATTCTACCTACCACAAAAAAATCCTCCTCAAGTTTGTAAGCAGCGGGTATATTTTACTTTTGATTAAGCACCAGATTCAGTTAAAACATAATTTTAAAAATTTGTTGACGTTATTTTCACTTTAGTTTCTTTAAAATTAGTATTTGTAACTCATGTAGTCATATAGAAAAAATATCTATTTTTGTCAATGTTTTGAAAACATTCCTGTCATCCTCAAGGCTAAAATTGGCATTTGGACGACGATATTGTATAGAAATAAGATTATATAGTGTTATAAGATAAGATATTAAGTTATATAAAAATAATGGAGGTAATGAAAAACAAGTTAAAATAAAATATACAGTGTGGTCCATTAACAACCAGGACATATCCCTAAAATATTTTTCGGGCATACAAAAGGAATTAATTTGTTTTATACAAAGTGGCTTTCTTGATGTACTTAATAAACCAATAAGGATGACCTAGTTGGCAGTCATGGCCTGCTGAAAAAAAATCCAGAAACAGTCTTATTCTGTATTATTTAAAATCCCAGTGCTGAATAATTTTTTATAGCAGTTCTAAATCTTTGAATTCGTGAAGTTTTTGTTTCGACTAAAAATTTAGGTGGCCATGGAAATTTTTGAAAACAGAAAATGAGTTACTAAAAGTGCTGATACTGATTATAGCGTTTGTGTGCTTATAAGTTCTTTTCACAATTTTCGCATGATTTAAAATTTTCAAAGATTTGGCCCCCAACCAGTCTCCCATTTCTAATGACTTATAGATTTTCAAATTGAAACGAGCTTAATAAATTAAAACTTTTAAGTTTACATAAAGAAATTATTTCAACTAAAAATTTTTTACTAACTACAACTAAAAAAAAGTTTCCTCAGAAAATTGCTTCCAAAAAATTGTAGTGGGCCGCTTACCAACTGGACCGTCGTAATTGGTTCAGAAAAAAAAATAGGGAGGTTTATTATTGGCTTTAAGGGTTTAAAGTGTAGTTACAGAAAATTTAACCATTTACATTGCAGTCACGTGAAACAAAATAAAAATATACAGAAACATTTTTACCAAAAGAGGAGGGCTCCTAAGGCCGGTTTTGGGCCTAATTTATTTTTGGCTAAAAAAATGAAAAAAAAATTTTAAGTATCTATTAGCAATCGTTCCCACCCTAAACGGACCAACCCCCTCACACTCCTTTCTCCCTCCACCCCCTTAAATGCCGGCGAAACCATCGCTTATTATAGAGGAATCTTTAAAGAGCTTCGAGATGCGAAAGACATTAAATTCCTATGAATCTTACATATGAAGAGTTGTCTGGGTCGCTGATCACGAATCTGGTCACAGAATCACGAAATTCAAAATGGCGGATCCAATATGGCGGACAAGAAAATTGAAATGTCTTCAAAATGCATGAATTTTATTGTAATGGGGTTTTTTGGGTCTATGATTACGAATCTGGACTCTAAATCGCGAAATCAAAATGGCGGACAAAAAAATTAAAATGTCTTTAAAATGCATGAATTTTTGTGTAGTGGGGTTTTTTGGGTCTATGATTACGGATCTGAAGGCAGAATTACGAAATTCAAAATGACGTATTCCATAAGGCGGACAAAAAAATTAAAAAGATCTTCATAATCATCAAATATTTGTTTATAGAAACTTTCTTGGATCACTGATTACAATTATGAATTCAGATTCACAAAATAAGTGGCTAATCAAATATGCACAATTGCACAAACATATGTATAATTATTGATTTTTTCTTTTTCGTTTTATTCAATGTAAATGTGTCATATCATTTAAGGGGGTGGAGGGGGAAAGGAGGGTGAGGGGGTTGGTCCGTTTAGGGTGGAAACGATTCAGTATTGCTAGTAGATACTAAAAAGGTACTTCAGATTTTTTCAGCCAAAAATAAATTATTTATTGTAATTTCTAGATGAAATTTTATCTTTAAAATCATTACTGCAGCTTTGAGGCTGGGAGGAATTTTTCCGTAACATTGATAATGTGTAAAAATAAAATATAACTAAGTTATCCAAATTTGCTTGTTATTGTTTCTATACAACCAAAGTATATAATGGACAAGAAAAAAATCTCATAGAATAGTAATTCTTCTTAACTTTTGTACTATCTACTTAACTAGCGTCTTTTTAGGTAAGTATAGCAAACAGGCAAGTTTATCAATTTAAATAAAATGTACTTACAAATAGTCATAATTTCTCTTTAACACTTTTTTTTTCATTATGAATGTAAATACAGTACAGTAAACTTCATAAACTCCAGCATAAACAGTTTTAAGAATCAGAATCACAAAAATATTTAAACAATTACCTAGTACTACCTATAACCTATAAGTGTCGTACATATGAAGTAGCACAAAGGTGCAATTAGGACTGGTCTTCTTACCCCTTGGTAAAGTTTTTGGGACATGCATTTGTAAGTACTACTAAATAATAATAGGGCAGTCATGCAAAATTTTCTAATCCTATGGGTTTAATTTTACTACTGCTTACTGCTTTTACAAATGTCAAATTTAAAAACAATTCACTCTCCAGAAATTAATACATTTGCTAAATTCAACAATACAATTAAAAGTACGATGAGAATCTATTAATATTAATATCATATTTATAACACTATCATTATTATCAGATGTATTTTACATATTATCATTCACATAATATTCACCATTTCAAATTTTCTGTTAAAATCGTTTCCTATGCTTTTTTAGTGTCGCGCCACCTAGGAACTGGTAGTGTAAGAACGCCCAAGTCCAACTCGTGCTAGATCCCGCAGTCCCTTACTTTCTTATCTTCCCAGACGAAATATTTGACAGTCTAAACAATGGCCGCGTATCAGATGGGACTGCTATTGATTTAAGTGTATGTGAGTGTTGTTGTGTATTTTAAAATGTAATGTTTTGGTGAAATTCCTAAAAATGTGGATCCCAACGAAAATTAAAAAATACGGCGTAGGTAAGTCATCCCGTCCGCTATTTTTCCATTGTTAAGGTGCAAATTTTTGATTTTTTATAATGTATTGTTGATTTTTAAATTCTACCTATGTTTTTTTCACCTATAATGTATATTTATAAAAGAGAAATTGGCACTATCTGTTTACTTCACGACACACTTAAAGGTGCACGGTTTATATAACGTAATGTTTATTTATATTTTTTGTGTACCCCTCGAAAAAGCAAATTAAATTTTCTAAAGTGGCGAAGTCGTGAATAATAACAAATTAATCTTTCGGCAGACTTGTTATTTTGTTAACGCCCCATGTTTCGGCATTTATAAATCAACAACTTTATTATTAGGGTACCCGTGCGTTATGAATTTGATAGACCCTGCAGACTTCGACTTCCTGTTTGACTTCTTCAACATATTCACATCTCAATATTTAAAAGTGCTGTTTCCTCTGCGGGTCTGTTTGGAATATATAATTAGAAAATTTATAATAGGAAATGCTTCTGACTGCGAGTTTGCCTTATGGGCAGGTTTCAATGTTTGTAATAATCTTTACATAATTAACCGCATGATGTCTAATTTAATTATCCCTTTAATGCTAATTGGTTGCGTGAAAATGTGAACCACACATCGCGGTCACCACGAATTAAATCATTATGTAATTATTTAATTCATCTTACAGTGCAGTATTTATACATAAAATAAATACTATTTGTTTTTCTGTCATCCATTGGAAACTGTGTGGATCCCATAATTAGCATTTAATTAAGTATTTTTAATCAAACTTTAATATAAATACACTCGACCTTCAAGTCTGAAATTAATTGAAATTATACTGCGAAAACCTGCCAAACGTCCGCAATTTCTAAGAAGACTAAAGTTGTTATTAATATTTAAGTAAATGTTTGTGCGTTGGGTTCATTTCGTCAAAATGAAATTGCTGGAATACAATATAAATTATTAATACCTACGTATCTCAATGGGTACTAAAATTCACAGTACTTTTCACCCTAGTTACTAATTTATTGCAGTGATAAGAGAGTACAAATATTAAGCTTGTATTAAGATATCTCCAATCATTAAGTATTATCATTCACCGAGTGCGCATCTTTGGAAACTTCTTACAGTACAAAACAGTATAATAAAACGTATTAAATTTCGATCCAGCTAATAGTTGAATTATTTAAAAAAATGCCACTGTTAACGATAAGTTAACTATTTTTCATGGCCATTGTTTACAAGCGATATCTGCAATGTAATGTTGACTATAATAATTATTTCTACGCAGGTAAACCATAGAAAAAATGTTAAAATAGGTACCCATTATATTGTATTCATTACTTTAATAGTAGTTATATGTTTTAATTGGGAATAATGAAATAAAATTGGTTTGTGTGACGTATTTTCCGTAATTTTATTATTTGAAGAGTTTTTAACTTCAAAGTTATTGTATACTTTTCAGTCTGCTTTACAAAGGTTATATTTGTCAAGTCTTGGCACATTAAGGTAACTTAAGAGGTCAAAGATGAACGCACTAGGTAACAATGATTTATCTTAATGACTGTCCAAGACGGTTTTAATGATTTTGTTCAAATTAAGGAGAAAACAACATTTTTTGTTGAAGCAAGTTTGGTTAAATCGACACCATTAGGGTTCTAGATTATACCTTTGAATTATGTAACATTCGTTAGGTGACACCCTGGATAAGATAATCAATAATATTCTTAATAGAATAGCCGTAATAAGAAATTAATTATACCAAAATTAAGTTCATTGGCATGGTGTATCATGTCCATTTGAGTTTATAGAATCTAAAAGACCATTTCCGGTACACTTATTTAATTATGGACCACTTAAAAATTATCCGGGGCAATGTTAATTGCTTTAAAAAATGCACAGTCTCATGGTATTGGTTGACATCAACAACCGATCTTCTATCTTGTAAATAAAGATGAGAATATTTAAACATATAATATAATGATTTAGTTATTCTACATCCAAATAACGATTCACGTGTTTGTTGTTATTATACCTGAAATTAAATTAGAATGTTTGAATTGTTATTTTTGTTATTTTCATCATCATTGACGTGTACGCGTGGGCGACGGTAGTCGTAACTTAAATTTTAAATGTTTTCTCGTAACCGTATTTATTTCCGTACGTTCTGTAGTATAGCATCCTATTTAAATTAATTGTTAGTATGTATGGGCCACTGTCCTGTCTTCCACCATTCATAAATCACTGATTTTCTCTGCTCACTTCGTCAGTTTTATCAAAACGGATAAAACAAATGAATTACCTTTAACCCTTCCTTATCTACCCCACATCAGGTTTATTTAATAACTTTTTGTCATCTCTGGGCTGTTCCCAAACCGAGATAAAATGTTTTCAGTAGTTCCCATGAATGAAATAAAAAGTACTGGTCGTCAGTGACAGCCTTGTGAATATAACAATGCTTTAGCCTCGCAGAAGATTCTATATTAGCTTAGCTTAGTTTGATACTTTTTTTAAATTTCAATTAAAAATTAATTGTTCTAAGTTTCTGTTCCACTGAATTATACGCTGTTATGGAGCAGATTTTGCATACTGTTGACAGTGTTGTTAACAATGTTAACTTGTTAATTTTTCAAATTGACCTTGCAGTGTTACATTCTAATATTGCTCAAAGTGAAACAATTTATTTTTCCGAAGATTTCTCACATATCTTACTGTATTAATATGCATCCACAGTTAGTAATTAAGAATTTTTAACTTACGTTAGATTTCCAAAAATTATTTCGTGAAAATGTTAAATTCTCTACATTGGCTTGATAGACCAGGAAAATAAGCTGGGAAATGATCATTTCGCGACTTTTTGTTTCGGCAAGCTGAATTTTTCACTATAGATGCTAATCTTCCTCCCATTTTTATGACTGGAAACTAATATGTTATTGTACATAATATTTAGCATCTATAGTGATAAATTCAGCTTGCCGAAACAAAAAGTCGCGTCCAACTCTATATTTCCTGAACTATGAACTGTTAACTTTTGAGTTTCTTTGAGTAACTTTCTTTATAAAAGCTGGGTAATTTATCAGGTTAATAATGCACCTTTTAAACATTTTCCACGGCCGGAATCAAGAGTTAGTCTCGTTTTAAACTTGCTTATTGCACGTTTCCTGTCTCACACTAAAAACAAAGCCAGGATTAAATTTTATGAGTTCCGCTCTAAAGTAAGTGCTAGTTAAGCCAGGGGGTGCTGGTTGAAATTTTGTACCGCACCTGGAACAATTGAAAAACTGGAAAGTACGTTTCTCTCTTGAATATTTGATTATTCCAGTCTTTGTAGCGCATGAAGAATAGAGATTAGAACTTGCAAATAATTTGATCCAAATTTGCGTAATAGAAACAGAAAGTTACAAACGTTTTTTTTTAATTTGTATGTTTAATATCACTAATTGATCCAGTCTTCCCGAATATTTCTATTAATCTCTTGACAGTTGACGAGGTTAAAACACTATTCCAACCATATTTTATACTAATATTGCAGACTGTATCTGCCAAACCTTCATTATTTTTAAAATATTGCTCAACCATGAAAACGCTTTGTTCTTTCATTCTCTCTTTTTTTTCGTTGGCAACACCTTAGTGAATGAATGGCTCAAAATTCAAATCTTGCTTGAATTTTGGGACACCCGATATTTTTAAAATAAACTAAATAGAATTATGTTAAATGTTTTCTTTCTGTTTGAAATTTCTTCTATTTCCCCTACACCTAATTTTTATTTTAATTTGCGCATTGAAACCTTGGAATTTTGCTAGGTATATAAAATCGTCTGCTTTGCCACTGAATTAAAAACATTCTAACGGCCTGGCTTGGACGGTAAACCGTTAGTATTGATTAAGATGAATAAAGAGGGTAAGTGGCAGATTTGCCAGTAAAATTTTTAACGTAGATACACCATATTTAACTGTAACCAAGTACAATGAACTTTAGAGGACCTCCGTTGAACTTTAAATATCTTTTTAGTTGAAAATGTGTTTCAACTGTTACAAATGGTGATATATTTAATAGTTTAATTTTATCACATTACCAATTTATATCCCATAAAACACACTCTTAATACCAAATAATACCTATAGGAATAAGTCTGTTATTACATTTGACAGTAATAAGCCTTGACGAAAGTTCAGAATGATTGTCCGACCTTAATTTGGTCGACAGATACCTCTCCTAGTACCAGATGTGCATATGTGGAGATGTAATTAGTTAATTATTTGGTACAAGGCCAAGACATGCGAACAAAAAGACGTGTATGCGATTAAGGTCGTCTTTATAATTATTGAAAATCATTGATTCAGAGTAAGTGAAATATACGAGACCTGTTCACAAAATAACCGAACTTTTTTTGATTACGCGCTAATGGAGATATTTAGTGATATGCGGTTGAAAGCATTGCGTTGCGCATAATAACCTTCTCTGTAACCACATGTTCTTGGGTTGTTAATATTTCATTTAGTTTTCGTGATATTATTTGAGTGCAACGTGTTTAAGTGTTAGTTAGGCCTGGTTCCTTGCGATTTTTTTTTATTTCCAAAATTAAAATCAGTGCTGAAAGACCGTTGTTTTCCAACTATTGATGACATCGAAACAACTTTGTCACAGACCTTAAAGTCCATTTCAAATGAAGGTATCCAGGCCAGGACTGCTTCGTAATATGATAACACCGCTGGAGAAAGTGTGTGAATAAAGGACGGGGGTACTTTGAACGAGAAAAGAACAATGAATAAAATTAATAATAATAAGGTTTAAAAAAATTTAGTTCGATTATTTTCTGAACAGACCTCGTAGGTGTTTCAGATTTAAACGAGTGCAGAATTTTTGAAGGTTTCTTTCCAAAAAGCAGCTAAAATTGTATACTGAAGAAAATTCTCTTTTTTTTTAGATAAATTCAAAATCAGTAAGTTTTCGAAAGGGACGCAATTTTTTGTCACGTCTCTTTTAAGGTTTTAGCACAAATGTAAAATGT